GCCTTCCTCCTCCTCTTCGCCCTGGTGCTCCTGCTCGACGCGCAGATCTGCAGGATCGCGGTGCGCCACGCGCAGCAGATCGCCGTCCAGCGCCAGTTCGTGGCCGCCGCCGCCCAGGCCACCTCCACCCGCAAGGGCCTGGCCACCCTCTCGCTCACCGTGGGCCTCTTCGCCGTCTGCTGGATGCCCTTCGCCCTCTACGCCCTGGTGGCCGACGCCAGCTACCCGCCCGTCTACGCCCACGCCTTGGCCCTGCCGGCCGCCGCCCACTCCCTCCTCAACCCCTTCGTCTACGCCTTCCGCAACCCGGACATCCAGAAGGCCCTCTGGCTGGCCTGCTGCGGCTGCATCCCCGCCGGCTTCGCCTCCAGGCCCCGGACGTCCAGCGACGTGTGAGCGGAGAGGAGGGAGGCCCGGGGAGGGGCGCCCGCCGGCTTTGGGAACCGAAAACCCGGGGAACTCTCTCCCTCTCCCTCGTCCTCTACTTCCGACAGGTGGAGCCCCGAGATCCGAGCAGAAAAGCAGGGTCGTGGGAAGAAGCCCTTCTTGGAGATGAGACCCCCCCCCGTTCAAGCACCGCTCCTAATGGTTATTCTCTGGTCCGTGGTCTTCTTTAGAGGAACCCCACCCCTTAGGATGGCTCCCTCGTGCCTCCCTCCGCTTGGACCGGTTCATCTTTTCCTTTCCCTCCCCCTCCCCGCAAAAAGGAGGAGGTGTGGATCCGGGCAGAGGCCGGTGTAACACGATGGCCAATCCTATGTGTGGCCTGGAGGAATTCCTTCCCGGGCTTGGGGCTGAAGAGCAATCGCCTCATTCCTGGAACGCCTTGCTCTGGACGCCTCCATTCTCTGCCTCCCCCCCTCCCGCCGCCGCCCCCGCCTCCCTTTTAAGGTCCTTCCTGTGGAGCTCGGAGGGCCGGGACGAGAGGACGAGGGCCCGGCGTTTTGGATGGCCTGGCGTTCTTTTCGTTTCTTCGATGGAGAGGGAAGTGCGGGTGATGGACCGGCCCTGTGAATTCAACTGCTGATTTTGCAAGCTGCTCATCTCTCTCTCTCTCTCTCTCTCTCTCTCTCTCTGTGTGTGTGTGTGTGTGTGTGTGTGTGTGTGAGAGAGAGAGAGAGAGAGAGAGAGAGAGACAAGTCCCTTGGGGACACCGCACCGCGCCTCTTTAAAGGAACCACACTGCCGAGGAGAGCAGAGAGGTGCCTGGCCAAGAGCCAATCGCTTCATTTTCAACTCCCCTGATTTATCCTGATCTGAGCCATCAAAGGTGGAAACAAGAACAGAAAGGGCGGCACGTGGAATCGGCAGCTCGCGAGGAACGTCCCCGAGGGACAGCGTGGGTGGCGCCGGCCCGACATCCGCTTGTTTCTCTCGCCCAGCTTGGCCCTGCGGCTGTGCGCAATGAAGGCAACCCCGGGCGGCGAGAAAACCAAACCGGGGAACTGCGGTGTTTGGGCAGGAACGGAGTCGGCTTCTCCTTCCAGGACTGTTCAGCACCGCGAGGTCTGGACAGCTCCGCGGAATGGAGGCAAAGCCGCTTCCCTTCACCGAGGCTTCGCGCTCATGTGAAGGATCGGGGCTCTTGTTTTGAAAAAGAGAAGCGTAATTCGCTCTCATTACAAACGAGTAAGAAGGGCCTGAGGTAAGGGGCCAAACCAGATGCCCTCTCGTTAGAAGGGGGCGGGTGTTCTTAAGTGCTGAAAACGTCTGATTGTCACACCAGGAGCTTGTTGCACTTTCTGTAATGTTTGTGTGTGTGTGTGTGTGTGTGTGATTGATTTTGAGGAAGAAATCGCAAGCTTTGTTTCCGACCAAAATGCAAATAATTGGTGATTGTGGGTTTTTCGGGCTCTGTGGCCCTGATCTGAAGGTTGTTCTTCTTAACGTTTTTCCAGTCTCTTTAGAGGACAGGGGTCAGAACTCTGTCTGTGCTCTGGTGCACTTTTGTGGCATAGTTGAATATTAGCTGTGGGATCAGCTTTTGTCCTTTTCAGGAGATAGGGTGATTATAGAGATCAGCGTGTTTTTTGTTGTGGGTGTATTGTTGTGATAAGAGGGAGAGATGATATGTCACTGTGATTGATCGGTGTTGTTAGCTGGTCTTTTGTGTGTAGGGATCACCAGTCCTTGGGGCTGGGTAGAGTCCGTTGACCTTTTGCAGGCTGTATTTTTCAGTGCTGGGAGCCAGGCTTTGTTGAGTTTTAAACTTTTTTCTTTTTTGTTGAAGCCCTGCTTGTGTTTGTGGATTTCAATGGCGTCCCTGTGCAGTCTAACATAATGATTGCTGGTGTTGTCCAGTACTTCCGTATCTGAAATAGAATTTCATGTCAAGCTTGTTTTAGGGCATGTTCAGCTGCTGTCAATTTTTTTTGGTTGTTTTAGTCTGCAGTGTCTCTCATGTTCTTTGATTCTGGTGTGGATGCTGCATTTTGTAGCTGGCCATATCTCCTGAAAAGGACAAAATCTGATCCTACAGCTATAAATACTCAACTATCCAAACAAACTGCACCAGAGCACAGACAGAGTTCCTACTCTTGTCCTCTGAAGATGCCGGCCACAGAGACTGGTGAAACGTTAGGAAGAACAACCTTCAGAAGAAGAGCCCAGAAAACCCACAACAACCATCAGATCCCGGCCATGAAAGCCTTCGAGAATACATACAAATAATTGCCCAGCTGCATATTGCCTGCTCCCAACCCTCCATATGACTTTCCTGATCAATAGTTCCTAACTGTTGTGTTAGACGAGGGCAAAACCTTCTGTTTCTCACAAATGCACTTTAAGCAACCCCATGAATGGTCCAGGTAACATTTCTTGCCCTGAAGTGAAGCACAGGCAAAGGTGGTGTGTGTGGAAATCAGTGAATGATTAGAAACGCCAGAAACTTTTAAGGTGCAGAAAATGGGAGCTTTAAGGGGCTTTCAATTTTTTTCCCAATGATAATCATGTGCCATTAAGTCAGTTCTGACTTATGGTGACCCTTTCCCAGGATTTTTCCAAATGAAGACTACTTAGAAGTGATTTCCCATTCCCTTCCTCTAGGGGGCGCCCTGGGACTGTGCAGCTTGCCAAGGCCACCCAGTCTGGCTCTTCTCGTGAAAGACACAGTGGGGGAATCAAACTCCCAACCTCTGGCTCCGCAGTCAGAGACCTAAACCACTGAGCTATCTGATCCTGAAAAACAAAACCCAAATCCCCCAATTCAGCAAAGCTTTTCTGAGGATCAGTGATAGTTTCCCCAACAGCATGCAGGGTTTCGAGTTCTGCAGAAATCCTCATCATCAGGTTAAATGGTAAGTCAAGCCAGGTAGGGAAACACAGAAGTCCAGATGTTTGACTAAATGTTTCACCCATGAGCTGTGAATCCTCGTTGATTATCTAGAAATCTGGCAGCCTTCTGTTTCTATCATGCTGCCTGAATGGGACACGGAACTGCTTTGTAAGTCTTTCTTTTTCTATGTTGTTCCTTGGGATGCAAACGAGCATGAAGGGGAGCTAGTGGAGTGACATGCTCTTCGTCACATGCTTTCTTGAGGCCCGATGAGACCACAGAGACCTTTAGGTGGGTTGCTTGGCGAGGCTTCACAGCACACCAGATCCCCTGGTGGGTGGCTAGTTTGTGGAGGCTGCATGAGAAGGGAGGGGGATTTTCATCACCAGCATCAGTAAGAGCAAGGATTCTCCTCGGTTATATATCACTGCTCTTGGACATTTATGAAAGGGGAGGAGAGGCCATTTCAGAAACCATTTAGCTCAGCAGTATAAACTGCAGGTAGCCAGAAAGGGGAAAAGGAAATTGAAAATCATATTTAATACTCCTTTTTTGATGAAGGTCAGCAGGAAACTTCTTTATATATTGCATCTGGTTATGTATTGCCTTTGTCCATGTACAGAGATGGAGCAATGTCTGTTTTCAGTGCCGTTTTGTACTTCTGAAACAGTATTTGAACATTTCCATTCCTGCCACTCATAGAGCAATCCCAAGCCACATCTGTCCTAGATCATCTTTTTGGGCTGAATATAGGTTCTTTAGACATTCTTTTAATATGGAGTGGGGGAGGAGGTGTACTAACCTGTTCAAAACAAACCAAAAAAAGCGAAGAAAGAATCTTATGGCACCTTAAGGAACAGCCAATTTCCTTTGGTGCAAGCTTTTATGGACAGCAGGCATGCAAATAAGTCCTGGTAGTCTTTAGAGTGTCACAGAATTATGTTGCATCTGGCAGTTTTGCATCTGACCTGCTCTTTTCCCTCTGGATTCAAACTACGTGTGTGGAAAGGAGATGTGAAGCAGGACTGTGCAGAGTTCAGATTAGGGGTGTGAAGGAATCTCACCAGGGTCTTGTTGATGATGAGACAGTCTGTCAAGGAGACTTAAGTCCCTGGGGAGGTTTTCCTCTCTAGCCTGAGAGAGTGTGCGTGTGCACGCAAATGTTTATTTCCTTCCTGTGTTATGCAGGTTTTTTTCAAAGCGTCGTTTCTCCTTCTCATCCTAAGCACAGAGGCACACAACCACAAAAAGGGGCAGATTATGGCTCACATGTGATGCTTAAAACTTCCAAAAATCCATGCCACAATGAAGGAGCCACACCACTGTTTTATATGTTGTGCAAATGTGCCAAATCCCTCTCCAGGTCTTGTAAATGCACAACACTCTCTCGGAGAGCTGCTGAACCGGGGGGGGGGGGTTATTGCTGTGAGGAGGTGTGTGTGTGTGTGTTGCAGTTTTTGTTCAGCATGCTAGGACAAATTAAGTCACAACTTACGTCTCTATGTGAAACTTTATTGGGTGTATTTTTTAAAAAAACACTGGAACCACAAGATTCTGCAGAGTCTGGTGTAAAAGCCACAGCCACTATCCTCCTGACTTTGCCCACAAGTAAATGTAAAACTGCAAAACTGGTGTGCGCAAGGATCCTGACTCCAACATACCCAGGTCAGGCACTCCATTGTGCGCTTGGTGGTGCACCCAAATATGCCACAGTTGGACAGAAAATTATTAAAACCACTTGCACAGTTCCCCCCCCCCGGTGTGTGCACTATTTTGCAACAGGATTCTGGCAATCCATTCAAGAATCCTAAAGCTACATATTTTCCCCCCCTGAATACCAGAACCGACCCTTTGACACAAAGAGCCATTCCTGGCTATTCCAGTTTTTCTCCCCTGTTTTCATGGTCTGGACTAAGGGAGAGGATCTTTCTTGCTGCTGTTAAAACAACAGGGAGTCATCAGAAAAATTCCTGTCCTTCTCCTGCAAATTGCCAAGACCTTCACAGGTAAATCCAGGCCTCCTTTTTGCCAAACAGGGTAGACTGATGATTCTTTATGGCGTGTGCGGGGCAGGGGTGGGGGAGAAAGGAGGCCTGCTAGAGGCTCTTGGACTCACAGACCCATCAACCCTCACTGGCACTGGCCAAGGTGCAGTGGGGGATGATGAGATTTGTAATCCAACAATCTCTGCAGGCATGCCAGTTGACTTTCTTGGACAGTTCAGTGATCCTTGTTGGACGAGACCAGGCTTGTCCTTCCTCTGAGGGCCAACGTTCAGTGACCCTTCCATTGGAATGCACTTTATGGACGAGTGGGGGAAACCAACACACACACCCCACTCAACCAACAACCCAAGAAACCAAGGCTGTTCTTGCACTACCGTATAGCTATGGTGTATAATATTATACATTCATCTGTTAAGAGTACTTTATTTTTATTACTGTACATAAAATGTTTGTGATTTGTCAAGAGGATGCTGGAAATTATTTTAAGAGAGATTAAAAAGAGATGTTAAAAACTTCGGGGCGTTGATCCCCAAGTTGTGTGCCAACATGACTATGGCTGCTTTCTTTCTGTAGATAAAACTGTGGTGGACAAGGGCGGTCATAGGTTTTGGGTTGCATCCCATAGAAGATTCCTGCTCTGGGGTGGGGGACACACACACACAAACCACGGACCAGGAGCCCCGTGGGCAAGGTCCTTGGGAACCCAATTTGAGCCCCCACCATAGGGTGTGCCAGGTCCAGAAATGGGTGAAAACATCCATTTAAAACACACACACACACACAAACACAATCTGAGCCCCCACCACAGGGTCTGCCAGGTCCAGAAATGGGTGAAAACATACATTTAAAACACACACACAAACGCACAAACATGCAAGCAAACAGGAAGTGCCCAGAGGGACTCTTCCAGTAAAATATTGTACATTTAAAACATGCAAGCAAACAGAGGGTGCCCAGAGAGACTCTTCCAGTAAAATATTGTACATTTAAATCACTTCCAACTCCACTGGACTAACGAGCCTGATCAGCAGATGCTGGGAATTCTGAATTTGCATTGGGCTGCTGAAAATCGGCACTAGGTTTTAGTCAAACTATTAAAGGACTGATCTAATGTGCTGAACTTAAAGGTCCAGCATCTTAAATCACTTCTGTAAAGTTTGGATTAAAATCCAAAGTGGATTCATGGCTCCTTCCTCAAGAAAATCACAGCTCGATCAGCCTTCACTGGTTAGATCGATTTTCCTCAAGGTGGGGCCCCTTGCAGGAATTTTAGACCACCACACCCATAATCCCTGGAGCCAGCCTCAGCATGGCCCAGAATGGTCTTGCCCTCCATCCCATAATCCTAAAAAGAGCAGAAAAGAAAGCTGAAGACCCAGAAGAAAAAAACAAAAACAGAAATCCTCTTAAAATCTTTTATTTTCTTATTTTCTTTTTTAAATTACCAACATGCATAAAGTGTCAACAGTTTGGGTTTATGTTGTACGACATTTCTTGGAAAGTAATAATCATAAAAGAACCATAAGGGATTACTAGAAGTTGTGGGGTTTTTTTTTTTTCAGCTCTTGGATAGGTTTTCCTCGACAGGCAGGAAAGGAATAAAAAATTT